TGAATATTACAAAATAAATTGAATTTTAGTTTCTTTCATTAATTATAAATTTTTTTATATAATTATATATGTTAGCGTCATTGTGTTATTTATTCAACTTTAAATCATTTTTTTAGCGCGTTTATTTAAAATTTTGATTTTAACCGGAAATGTTTTTTATCATGCTTGGAATACTTACCCTATAAATATGTGACAATTTCGCTATGAACTTCTGAACTTAATATAATTTATATTAGTTTTTCCTTAGATTTTTTTATATAAATTATAAATGACTCAAAGATTAACCTCAAAATTTCCAAAATTCATAAGATAGGTATTCTAAACATGTTGGAATACATTTCCGGTAAATTGTTAAATTTAAAAAAAGGCTTTCAAAAAATGATTTAAGTTGAAAAAATAACACAATTTTTTGAAAACGCTAAATTTCAATGCCGATCAGATATTTATATCAGCACCGCCCTAATAAATATGCAATAATGAACAGAACTAACGTTTCACGGAACAACTATCAACATGCTCTCTAATTTTATAAATGCCATTTAAAATCATATTAATTAATGTTATAAATCTGAAAAATTTATGGTAAGACTCGATATTTTTCAATTAGAGGTCCAAACCTTTGTGCCACCTATGGGCAAAATTTATAAACTTATTTAATATTATTTTAGCTAAAATCTGAATCGGATCTTTTTAAAAATCGGTCCGAATCAATAGATTCAGTGCCAATTCTTCTATAAAATGTAGCTCCATTTCAAAAAATATAAAAACCTTATATTAATCCGTGCCATAATATTCCTAAGCTAAAATTAAAGCTACCAAATATTTTTGTTTTATTTATATATTTTTATAAAAATATTATCCTGCATTTTTATTTTAACATCAACATACCCATTCGACCACAGGCAAGTTTTTTTTACAAAGAATCACTTACTCCTTGTGACAAAAAAACCCTGATTACAATAATTGATAGGCTACCTTTATCGTGACACTTTTTCGATTGATATTCATTATTAATGTTTTATATGTAAAAATATATTGTTTTTTAACAAAAAAATTTTTAAAATTATTTTTCTCTTGACAATTTTTTTGAACAAAAGATATGAAATATTATAATAATTTATTTTATTTATTTTTGTGAATTGAGAAGTTTTTCACTGTATATTTATTATAACAAAAATGCAATGCAAAAAAAAAGAATAGTAAAATTATTACCTATAATAATAAGCGGTTTAAAAACAATCCTTTTTTTTAAAAAAAAAATTTAATATTTTATTTTTTTATCTAAATCTATTGATAAGTGATATGTGTTTTATGTTTTTATAAACTAGCAATTTTCCATTGTAATAGATAGAGAGATAGGATAGTAAAAATATACTCGGGGCAAAGTAGACATCGGACAGTCTAACAGTCAGGGGTAAAGTAATTTCGGGCCTGGCCTTTACGGGTTTGGGCGAAAAAATTTATGGGCCTAATTTTTATCGGACAGAAATACCCCCATAAATATTTAATATTGTTTAAAAATAAATTTTTTGGATAGGATAATATACTTCATACAAATATATATACCAGATATAAATAATTTGAGCAAAAGATATTTTTTTAAAAATTTTTGATTTCATCTTGAAAGATTTTTTTTGCATTTAAAATTACAAAATATTTTGACATTTTTAGGTAAAATTTGATCAAATTTTTTTATTTTCAAACTGACTTTCGAAAATCGAAATGTCGCATATTTAAGGAGTATAGTTAGATAATTGCTCTATTTTTTGGCCTAAAAATATTACCTCTATCTCGGAGGTTTTTTTAAAAAACATAGCAATTTGGTGAAAATAAATTAACTCACGTCTCAATTCTTAAATAATTTTTATTTGACAACGCATATAAATTAAGGCAATTTTACCCAGATATTAAAAGTATTGCTTTAGTTATCTTAAACAGGATCTTCGTAATATATATTTTTTAAAATTCCTGTTTGTTAAGTGGCGATTTATGGAATATTCATGGCCATAAAAATATTTAAATTGATTATTATAAGGAACAAAGGGACAGATCAGCACTAAATTCGAATTTTGCGCCAATATTAGAACAAAATAAATTCGTGTATCTTTAAATTTGAAAACGAAAAAATTAATTATACTACCAGAATTTAATCATTTAAAATTTTATAGGCAATCATATTTATTTGCCTATTCTCTAGAAATAATATCAAAATCGGGTTGTAAAATATGCGATGGTAAAATTCGGAGTCTATATTTTAGAAAATAGAAATGTTTTTTTTATTATCATTTACTAATTTATGCATTGTGAAAAATTTGAATATTTAATTTTTTTTTTAAACATACAATACTCACTAGGGGGTGTGGTAGTGTTTGGTACATCTGCCTTTGACAAATTTTAGATATTCTATATGATTTATTTGCTCAAAATTATTTTGTCTAACATTTTTTATTGGTTGAACTGAACGTAGTGTAGTTATTAAATATGGATATTTTTTTATTTTATCCATAAAATAAAGCTTTAATAGTTTTTACAGAAAGTCTTTTCCTCATAAAATAGGCATCTCTGGGATAAGAAAGAAAGAAAGAAGCAGTAAATAAGTTTATCTTCCTATATTAATTTAAAGACAATTTTTATTTCAGACATGTCCAAAATCTTTTTAAAAAATTTTAATGAAAATTCGTATGTTAAATTTTAAAAATTTTCTAATTATATTTTGGACTTTTTTTATTTTTATATCTTTTTCAATATAAAGTATCAAAAGTATGTGAATCGAATTTTTTGATATTTTGGACACCACCTCAAGGGAAAAACATATTTTATTTCAATATTAATTTATTATATAATTTATCGATCCGCCACCCGAACTCTTAAAGATCGGACTTGGGCACTTGCCAAAATGTTTTATTCGGGATTTTCTTAATGTTTTTTTACAGTTTTATTTGTTTATAAGAGCGCCGACGCAAGGTTTTATTGTAAATAAGAATAGACTTAATATAACATAACTCTTGAACTCGACTTATAAAAAAAATACGTAACTCTGTTTGCCATATTGATTTGATAAAAATATCGATTATGACGCTATCTGTTCTTTTTCTATGATATACTATATTTTATATTGTAAATTTTTTTTCTACTCATGTAAATATATATTACTAAATATACAAAATACTATCATAAATAAATGCAATACCAATTAATGAATACAAATTTAATATATATTTATTACAAAAAATGTTAATATTATAAAAATAGGTTGGTATATGTATATATGATTTTATGGAAATATCTCGAATAGGTAGAGGAAATAATTCCGAAAGCATTTAGTCACCTCGAAATACAAATTCAATTTTTTTTAATTATAAACCGATTAGGGTCATTTGACAGGAATTTTAGTTTTTGACCTTTCCCATTCTTCTAAAAAAAGGACATAAAGAAGTATGAAAAGAGTCAATAAATGTGGCACTATCACCCCCCCCCCCCAACCCCTTTCTTAGATTGTTAGGGAGTCTTTGGTAAAAATAGTTACATTGTTTGCGCTTTTTAATTAAAGATAGGTTTTCATAATTATATAATTAGCAATATAAAAATATGAAATAATTAAACGCAATTTCAATTTACGATCAATAACCCATTCCTTTTAATATAGCAACTTGTAACTATGTTTGGCTGTCACTTTTTTTAATTAAAAAAATTATTCTTACAAATTATTTATAAAAATGTTTTAGCAATTTACACAAATTTTTATACCTATGTTAATGAAGCAAATATTAATATAAATATATATATTTTTTTACCTTTGAATGTTTTATAATTTTTAGTCTCACGCGAAGATTCTTTGAATTTTAATTGAATGGGTGTTTTTGGAAGCCTTTCATCTTAAAAATAAAAGTATCAAGTAGAAATTATAAGGTTTTTTGAATAAGATCTAACATATAATTTTATGTTGGATCATATTAATAAAATATTTGAGTTTCAATAACCGGATTATTTTATAAAAGCTAAAATAAATGGAAATTTTTAGAATTTGCGTTTTACTATGATTAATATGCAGTTTACAATCATACGTTCAATCGACTATTCTTCGTATTATTTCACACTCAATTTTGATATATAATAAGAGATCGATAGATAGTCTATCGGCTAAAAAGGTGGTATTGGCACATCTTATTCAGAAAAATAAAAAGCCGCAAATAGAAAGATAAAAGAAATGATACGAAGCTACTATAATTTTAAATCGTTTTATTAATATATAGCTGTTAAATGATAAGTTTCCCTAATTTGATAATGAAAAAAAGTGCTTTAACCTTTAGAGTACAACTTGTCGAAATCGCAATAATTTACTATTTAAAAATTATATTATATTTTTTTATTAAAAAACAAACTAATTTATAGGGAATAAAAATAATGAATAGGCCAGTGCTAATCACTTACCATTTGCTTTTTTTATATTAATAATTGGCGCGTTTTAACCAGTGCAGGTGTAAAAAAATTAAGGTTATCGAATTCATCCTTGCCATTAGTTCTATCCCAATAACCAAAATACTCTTTTATAAAAATATTCAATGATTTTTATTATCAAATCGTCGGCTGAATATTATACTGTTCTATATCTATTTTTTTTTAAAATTGTCAAGGGGGCTAAAAATAAATATATTTCTTGCAAGGAATAATAATGTAATCAATTATTTTCAATTACATTTTAACATTTTTATTGTAGATATATAAGAATATGGTATTGAAGAATTTATTTATATAAAAAAAGCATTTTACAAAAAGGTGGATATATAACGCTATAATACTTAGCTAATGAAATTAAAAAATTTTACGCCTAAATGTAAGTTTCTATATTATACTGACAGTTCAATTTATAAGCATGTTGATCTTGATTAAAACGCTAAATGATATATAGATTTAAATATTTATGCTTATTTTTTTTTTATTATATCGTTCTTTTTAATAATAATTTTTTCTGTTATAACAATTTTTGGTTCAAAACATAGATGCCCAAGAAAACGGCATATTTATAACCCCGAACAGCCCCAAAATTTCCAGAAAATTAGGGGAAAATTTTTACGCCATATGTACCGGTAATGGCACCCCCAAGCCCTACAACATAAAATGGTTTACTCCATCCGGGGAAGAGATGACCGACGAAAATAGAAAGTTAGCATATTTTTTAAATTTATTTATACTCAGTTTTTTTCCGGAGGCCTGCATACCCTGCTAATAAAATTTATCATCGGTCGGAGAATAATTTTTTAATACAAAATAGAACCGATTAATAGTTAGTGCGGTTAGAAAGCGGGGTTGTGACAAATTCCCCGATTATTTGGAGTATTGGGTTGTGCCAAATTCCCCGAATATTTGGAGGATTGAGTTGTGAAAATGCACTCTGATAGGTAGAATTTTACAATGGCCGTTTGGCACCACCTGAAATTTTCAATAAAACTTATGAAACATTGCCTTGTATTTAATCATATTCATTCATAAAAATGATATCCGAAAATTATATCAATTTTGTCAATAATGTTACTAGACTTTCTTACTGTCTAAAAAAATTCTTATTGTATACCAGGTGTCCATGTTTATCTAAGAGTTTGAGATATATTATTAAGGATATATTCAACTATATTGAATTTTTTTTAGCGGACTAAATTAAATATCATGGTGGAAAAATTTATATTATAAAATGAGATCTTAAATTTAGTATTTCATATTGAATAAGTACCTCCATTTTCGTGAATGACTGTTTGATCTGATTTTATCTTATGACAAGAGGACTGCATAAAATTCCTATTATGTCTCATCATTTTTTTATGCAAACATGGAAACTTAGTTTATAAATATTGTTCCGTCCGTTGCCCATTGTTTAATAATAATATATAAGATATTTGCCGGGTTTGGTACGGGTCCAGGTTCTAAATTTTAAAAGTACTAGGGTACAGTTCAGACAGGCAGAACTCAGATCCGTTTGGTCCAGGTCTGGTATATATAATTATTTTTTACTAGTTAATTACAAACAAGCTATTACTGGTAATAAATTTGGAAAAACGGTAATCAAGTTAGGACAGTTATCTTATAACATTAGAAGTAAAAACAAAAAAATTAAAAATTACTGAACCCGGTCTCGATACTAGTTTAGAAAAAAATTGGGTCCGCATTCATAAACTTAAATATTTTTTAATCCCAGATCAAGAGTCCAAGGTAGAGGTTTGCAATGGGCGGGTTTTTAGCCCACAAGCCCGCCCTTTCAATATTAAAAAAATTAAATCCGCCCGCCCAATCCGCCTATAGTTTTTAAAAGTTATACCCGACTGCCCACGCATGAGTCTAAAATTTTTTACCCGCACGCCCATTAGTCTCTAACCTGTCGCCCATTATATAAATTTTTTTTAACCCATACCGCCAATAAAATTATCAGCTCATTCTTTCAATTTTTTTAAAATTTAATTTAAAAAAATGATTCAGTTTCAGCTCTACATCCCTACAAAAATGTTTTACAATTTAGGAATTGCTATATTAAGCAAAAAAATATTCAATTTAAATTACAGGAATTTATTTAATTTAATAAAATGTCGCCCATTATATAAATTTTTTTTTAACCCATACCGCCAATAAAATTATCAGCTCATTCTTTCAATTTTTTTAAAATTTAATTTAAAAAAATGATTCAGTTTCAGCTCTACATCCCTACAAAAATGTTTTACAATTTAGGAATTGCTATATTAAGCAAAAAAATATTCAATTTAAATTACAGGAATTTATTTAAGTTAATAAAATGTCGCCCATTATATAAATTTTTTTTTAACCCATACCGCCAATAAAATTATCAGCTCATTCTTTCAATTTTTTTAAAATTTAATTTAAAAAAATGATTCAGTTTCAGCTCTACATCCCTACAAAAATGTTTTACAATTTAGGAATTGCTATATTAAGCAAAAAAATATTCAATTTAAATTACAGGAATTTATTTAATTTAATAAAATATTTATGTAAAAAATATAAATATAAAATTAATATTATTGATATTATTTCTAATTATAATGCAAATATAATAATGAATCTACATTTTTGGATTCATGCAATTTCCTTTTTGTTCTATAAACCTTTCAGCAATGTTAATTACTCGTTCAGAAGAAGCACTAGTTAACTTGAGGGATTTGATAAATCTTTTTCTTGTCCTTTCCACTTAAGTAGGATATCCATTTGAAGTATATCCTCCACTTAATTAGATATTTAAATAAAAAGTGAAACCATTAATAATAAATAAAAAAAAGAATTTAAATTAATTGTTTATATATGTAAACTTAAACTAAACCAAGTAGCCTTGAATCTCGCTAAATTATACAAAAACTCGCTACTTTAAGATTTAAATATTTTGTTATGTCATTAGGTAAGGTTGGCATTTAATTATATACCTATTGAATTCTCTTTTCTTTTAGAGACACAGGTAAAATCAGATTTTCACTCACGTTGATATTATATTCTTCCATGCAACTACATGTTTTCGATATCAACACATGCTCAGATATCGATTGGTATTAAAGATGTTGAATTTCATGGAGCATTTTTTTATTATTCACATAAATGATTATGAATAACAAATAAAAGTTGTTAATTTTTTAACCCGCCCGCCCGCGCATAGTTTAAATATTTTTCTTAACCCGTCCCACCGCCCACCCGTTCTCTAAAAAATTAAACCTGCTCGCCCGCACGCTCACTTAGATTGGTGGGCTAAATCCCGCCCAATGCAGACCTCTAGTCCAAGGCTTGGTTCAAAACCCAGAAAATTTATATTAAAAAAATTCTAAATTTTGAAATAAAGACATCTTTTAATAAACATAAATCCGACCTACCCGTCCTGCTCATATTTTATCACCCCGCCAATGTTTAAAACAATTTTTTACCCACCCGCCAATCGTTCACATTTCCCGGGGCTAAAAACCCTCCTCGAAAAACTTATTACCTTAAAAATTTTTTAAAAAGTTGCTTTAAATAAATGAATACAATGTGGAAAATATTATAATGCTCAAATTGCAATAGGTGTATACATTTCACAAGATGTACGACGGGACCTAATTTTTGAACTCTTAAAAAAATTGCTTTGTTATTTTTTGACCAATCTATTATTAATGAGAAAGGGGAAAAACAAAGATAAAATAAATAGTTTATTTATCTTTTCTTTAAATATAATATAAAAAGTAAAAATAAGACCAGGTTTGGTTTCTTGTAAATTTTAAAAAAAGGCTTTAGTTCTTGGATTTGTCCCCTTTCCTAGGATTTTTTTTCCAAACTGATAAATATCTTAAATTTAGATTGGATTGAGGTTTAGTTATTTGCGAAAAAAAAGTTAACGTCAATAAACTATTGATTATATTGAGTCTGACTACTAACATTATATCTTGTAAAATATATTGTTATTTATTTATTTTTTAATTCGGGACCATTATGATAATAATTTATTTCGCTTTGTTTTTACCCGTCCTCTTATTTGTCAACCAACACAAATTTATTGATTTATTACTATATCATATAAAATATCATTATTATTTTTTTGTTGGACTTGATATGAGTTATAGAACTTCCTTCCCTTCTCTTTTTTTCTTCAAAATTATCATTTTATTTATTTATATTATAGTTATTTGCTTTGCCATTGATGTGTTTCAAATTGAAATTATTAGATTAAAAACATGCACTGCACATTCTGTAATTATAACTTTGTAAAATAAATATATAATAGCATAAAATATCACGTAATAATAATATAAAACCCTTATATTATATAAACTTGGTTCGGTTCACCCCCTTCTTTTTTTTTCTTTTTTTTATATTTATTACGTTTTAAAAATCTATTTTAAAATTAAATATCATCATAAAAGGGTTTTAAAAAAACGAAGATTTGGCACTTACATGTCACTACCGTCTATATCAATTAAGTTTAACCTGGCACTATTTAAATTTTATTAACTTATAATATTTATAGGTAATCTTTATCAAATTTCTTTATCAGAACCGATCACTATGAGCCCAATATAGAGATCATAATGTTACTTAAATAAACAAAATAGTAAAAATCATTTCAGATATTGCGAAAATTAATTTTACCAATAAACAAGTTTTCATAAAAGTTTTTTTCTTTGATTTGCTCGTTGAGTTCTTATTATTTTTAGACTATCATAACCATCTCTTGGTTGATGCACACAATAGCTTATCTATAATTTGCTGGGTGGGGGGGGGTGTGTGGTCAAAATTAAAAATTATATAATATTTTATCTCATTTAGGTTAGATTTCGGTTGGTGCAAATGTCCCCTTGACCCCCTTCCCTTCCTAAATACGCTACTGATTTTATATAATATTTAACCTCGAATTAGTAGGACATTTTTGCCTTGTATTTGCAATGTTCCTACAAATTGGGAAAATCTTAGTCACATAATATCCTTTTTCGGGTAATCATCATTCAATTCATGAAAAGGAACAATATATTTTTAAATAAGACACTTATTTTTTTAGGAAAAACACTATTTGACTAAAAAAAACATTTTTCAAATTATTTTTAGGAATTACGCAGAACACACTGAAGAAAAGGCGCGTGTATACGTATACAACATAAGCCGAGAGGATGTGGGCGTATATACATGCGTGGCAGAAATCAGCGGCTCCAAACTTATGAAAACTATTGAACTCACTACTTACCGTAAAACAATACGCGAATAATAATTTAGAGCGTTATCTCTTCATTTGCATTTTTTTAATAAATAATTGGGCAATTTAAGAATTTAATTTTATTTTTGGGTTAAGAATCAATTAGTTGGAAAATAACGAAGGGTTTTTTTTAGATTTTTGTAATTTAAAAAAGATCTTTAATATCATAGTTTGCGAATTTTTCAAATATTATATAATTATAGTATATTTAATAAGTATTAACCTTATTTTTTTAATATTATAAATAAATATTTTTCTAATATTAGAAAAATTATTATTAATAAAATCTGGAACGAGAATAATTATAATATTAATATTAATGAAAGAGTTCCTTTATTGTGAAATTCTGAACCATTTAAAAAAATACATTATATTAATAAATAAAATGAAAATAAGCTAATTTCCCCCAGACCCAGATCTACAAATTTGATGATATCATTATGAAATGATTTAAAAAGTTGCATTCAATTTTTCCATTATAATTATAAAAATTCAATTCGAAAAAAGCGACACTTGTAGATTGTGTGTTTTTTTATTTTTTCTTATATTAAAGATTAAGTTTACATATACATTATATTACATAAATATAAACAATGTGAGTTCGAAAATTGAAATGAAAAAAAAAACGGAGAAGGGGAGGGATATATTAGGTAATTAAGATTAAAAGATAATAATATTTATGAGTTATAAAAAGTTGATTTTATCATTTATAAACGATTTATAAGCTTGTATTTATAGCTATTTTAAATGCCTGAAAAACATTTATACAAGGGTTTTGATAAAACGTATTGTCTTCCTTTTTTAAACAAATTTTTCAATATAGAAAGAAAAACAAGTTGTGACTTTCTTGATCAAATGTATTAAATTTCGAAACATTAAATTAACGTTATTATAAGAGAATTAAGTGTTTTTACCTTTAAACTTTAAAAATGTAATATATCGCATTTTATTTAGCCTATAACATAGTTTAACAATAACCCATATTATATGGGCGTTCTTAAGCCCAATTAGCTTCTTTTAAGCTCATTAGTTGCTCTTTTATGACTATTATCACTGAAGGAGAAGCTATACCAACAAATTAAGTCTAAAATAAAAGGATGAATAGATTAAAAGGGGTAAAAATACTAAAATAAAGTTGCTGTGGTTATTAAGAAAATATTGAATAATCAAAAAATCTTAAAATTGTTTTGTCAAATATATAATTATATAGCCATAAAAATGCTATGTAAAACAATTATTATTTCATTCAGAACCGATAGAATTTATACATGCCCCAGAAGAACAGGAGTTGGTAGTCAATACGACATCCAAGGTTTATTGTTCCGTTATAGGAGAACAACCTCTCGAAGTTACTTGGCCTCTTGTCGCCGGCAGTACAACACCCAGTTAGTATTTTAATTGATTAAGAAAAAGGGGGCTTTTCTAAAATAATACTTAGATAACATTATAAAATAATTTTTTTATAGTGAAATTAAATAGTATATATAAATTTGTTTGATACATATGCCCTAAACTTGAATTTAACTCTGTATTATTGAGTATTATGCTGAAAGAATGATGTTTATTAATTTTTTTAATTTGATCCACCTAAGATGATAGGGTGTTATTTCAAGAAGATGGGTTATTGATAAAATCAGTGCAGCCCTCGGATGGAGGCCAATACATATGCTTAGCAACCAGCACCGAGTTAGGAACTATGATGGAAAAACACATACGCGTCAATGTTACATGTAAAAAGAATTTTGGTCTTGAATTTAAAATAAGGCATAGCCAGGATTTTGCTAAGGGGGGGGGGGTGGCATGTTAGTTGTTGGTTTTTCGTTTAAATTTTATTGGAGCTCTTTAGGTCCACTTATTGTAGGCCTTTGGCTATTATATTTTTATAAAATTTTGAGTTTTCACTTTCTAAAAATTTTGAATTATAGTCGTTATTTTAAAAAGTTTTAACAAAAAAATTAATATAAGATCCTTACCAGATATTAATATGGCTTCTAGGCCTGTTAAAGCTAAGCTCGAAAACCAATATAATTATATATATTATTTATCAATTTATATTGATAATTTATACCTAAAACTTTTTATATATAGTATACTTAGATCAAACTAATCATCAATGATTTATTTACATTTTTATCCGAATAATTTGAAAAAGAAAAAGGAATGAAAACCATATTTTTAAAAATATAAATTAGCTCCTCCATTATGGGTCAATCCTCCTAGCGATGTTACTGCACATATCGGAACTAACATTAAAGTATTATGCCAGGCGGACGGTAAACCACAACCAGAAATAACCTTTTACAAGGTTATTTAAAAAATATATATCATGATTATCACAAAATTTGTACGGCCAGAAACCCCCCCCCCTCCCTATAAATCGAGCGCGGCAGCCTGTAAAAAAATTATTTCGGTTAAAGATCCGTCGGGCAGTATTCATCTCTAATGATATAACTAATAATATTTTACCAACAAACCCTTTTATTCTTTACATGGTTTATTTATCTAATAAGAGAAATGTGATAATGTTTATATTAATATACTAAAATTAAATATTTTTTTTTAATTAATAGAATTCTGTCAAAATATTTAATGATTCCAATTTCCGCATTAATCCAAGTGAAGGATATATGCTCATAAATGACATTAAGAAAAACGATGAAGGCTTTTACAAGTGCGAGGCGGTTAACAGACCAGGAACAATCATGTCTGATTTTAAAATCAATTTACTAGGTTTTTAATTTGAAAAATAAATAAACATTAGGTGAATAAAGAGTTCGATAGTTTCGCGAATAGTTGTATATAAAATGCTAATACAAATAGTTTTTTTTGTGTTTAGTATTTATTTGAATAATTCAGGGAGTATTTATATTTTAAATAATTATTACAAAGACATTTTTTTAATAAAAAATTAAATTATAAATATAGAATCTATTTCTTTAAATATTAATTTTATGATTGGAGTTAGAGACAAAAATCGAGATCTTATCTGTTTTAACTCTTTTATTAAAATAAACCAGGTTCATTCTGAAAATGAAACTGATGAAATAAATTTTTAAATATCTTCCTAAATCATGTTTATTCTATTATATTAATGTCTATAATATAATTTAAAAATAAAAAAAATACCTGCTATTTTTTTGATATTATGTTATTTTATTATTTATATAATTTTAAAAAAATGGTTAATAAAATATCATTAAATAAGAAAAAAATGTTATTGGTAATATAAAAATATATTTCTATTATTCGTCAAAGTATTTATATTTAAATACTTTTTTCAATCTTTTAGGGGGTATTTATATTTAAAATAAATTTTTTAAAGACACATTTATTCGAATGCATTTTGTGAAAATTCATCCCTGGGTGTATAATATTCCATTTTTTAATATTTGTGTAAAATATCTACTTTGAGTTCCTAGGGCTCATATTATAAAGGTTAATATATAATGAGTATATTTCGTAAGGCTAAATATTTTCAAATTAGATAGGGAAAGAGATTACTATAATTAAATGTCATTGATTATATGTTATATGTAAAGTTAATGACCAGTGTTTACAGTTTATTGAACACTAAAACATTTGGAAAAAATGAAACCCAAATTGTATCACGATTTTTTAAATATTAGAATAAAATGCCTACTTTACTTATTAGTTTACACCAGGTATACACTTATTAATAAATTCAATTAATCATTGATGTCCGAAAATACGAATCTAATAATAAATTGTTTCAATTTGATTCTTTTAAATGAATTGAACAATTTACTATTCATAATTATACCAATCAAATAAAAATAGTATATTTTACTATATACTTTTTGTACAAAAAAAATCGAATAAGAATAATTTACTATTCGATTCATATTTGAATAGGCTTATGTTGGAAGTTCAAATTAAAATATACTGATAGGTAATTCCATGATAAATCGACCAAAATAACGTGATTTTCGGACGACCATTTTTAAAATGGATGAAACTTGGCATGAAGGTTAAATAAATTGTATATTTTACACAAATCAAAATTTTAATGCTCTAGCTTAGATATATTCCGAGTAATGAGCCTTCAAAGTTCGATGATAGCCTTTTTCTCTTTTAACGATTTTAAAATACTCAAAATGTTTTTGGTTCAAAGTAACAAATTTTATATCATTTTGTAGACCTTAAAATTCTACTTAAGAAAATGAAAAATTATATAAAAAATATCTTAAACATCGTATTTCCGGTAAAACAGGAAAAAATTATTTTGAAATGCGCCTTATTTAAAATGATGAAACTCACGAAATGTGTTGGTATATTTAAGTGAAAATATTAATGGACAAAATTAGAATTTAAATTTTATTTTGTTTTTTTTATAATTTTAGCTATAGAAAAAGCAATTATAAAGGGCGCTATTTATAAAGTTAATCTTAATATATTTTATAAATAAAATATACATTTTATCGGAGATACGAACCCGGCAAATTTTTTGCCCGGGATCGGTTTAAGGTTAAAAAATAGGTCGGTTTGGGTTCGGTTCAGGGAAATATTTTTGAACCCGGGTTTGGTTCCGGGTTCAGCTCGGGTTTAAGAATTTTTGAATTGATAAAAAAAAATATTCTATATTTAAATCATAATTAAAAAACTAGACATAAATATAAATTTGGTATAAATAATAAAATTTCTATTTTATTTATGGGCAAAATATAGTTAAAAATACAAAGCATAGTCACGTATAAATTTAAAATTATTTATTTAGACGTATTTCTTTAAATTAACATTATCCAATATATTAATTTTTACTTTGACTTGTTCACTTTCATTTTCCTCTAATTCATAATCTTTGAGATTAAGTTAAAAATTAAAAATAAATGGCGTAAATGAATTAAATTGTTTAAAATTTATTAACAATCCAATAGGAATCTTTGAGAATAAATTTGAAAAAATTTATAAAGTAAATGAAATAAGTTGTTTAAAATTTATTAACAATTCACATAATTGGAAATTTGAAAATATTATAAAATGTCATAAATTATTAATATTTGTATTTACAATATACATATTAGAGGTGGGCGCGGGCCTAATTTTTCATTCACGGCCCGCCCGCTCACGGTGGAAATAAAAAAATATCACGCCCATTCACGCTTATCACTAAAAATTTCGACCCGACCCACCCGCTCACGACAAGCAATATTTTGATTCACGCCCGAAAATTCGGTGTTCTTAAATTTTTAGAAACTATTGCTATAATTTTACACCTTTTTGAATTCATTCTATTTATTTCTCTAATTTCATAATCCATATTAATAACAAAAAATAAATAGAATCTATAAATCGGAATTTATTTAGAAAAAGAAGAATGTCCATCTTTTTTTTTATTTCAATTGTATACTCCTTTCCTCTAATAAAGAGATTGGCTACAGAAAATAACCTTTCACTAGAAGCCGAACTTGTCGGGACTAATTTTCTCAAAAAAGGAAATGAATATTCCTGCTTCCAAAACTTCAAAATATTGTCTTGTTATTTATCTTATATGAATTTTTTAAGTTCATCCTCACAGCTTCCATCGGTGATGTTGTTGCTTCATCAGAATCATCTAGAAATTCTCTAAATTTTTTATTTAGAATATACGGTCTTTTATGAGTGTAGGATGAATTAGGAAAGTGATAGTTGGTATTGATCATTTAGAATATACGGTTTTTTATGAGTTTCGGATAAGTTAGGAAAGTTATAAATGATAGTTGGCATTGACTTATGCATATCATCTAATTTAATATCATTATCGTTTTCTTCTTTTATTAAAAACTTAAGTCTTTTGAAATATCTATTAAGCCTACCTTATGTAGCGGCTGCATAATAATCTTTTAAAAGAAATCTTGTTTTGTATTTTAAGGTTTTGTTTATTATTGTATCACGTTCAGAAGGTTAACAAAATTTTATTAATTTTTGTTTCCATAGACAAATTTCATTTATTGTGGGACGGGAATCTGCTCTCAGATTATCCGAGCATTCTTATAAATATTTATAAAAATTTATCTAACTCGCGTATGATGCTGATATCAATTGTGGCTAATCTATTTAATTCTTGCTTGCTAAACAAGTACACCTGTATTTCAGAATATGATTTTAAGAAACTCTGTATCATGATATATACAGAGTTCCATCTCGTTATTCTCGCTATTACATCTTGTTTAAGGGTGTGGCAGTTTGCTATTAGCTGTAGATTGTTCGAAATATTGTAATATTTTTCTACATCATTTATATTTAAGGCTATTTCAGTTATTGTCAAAAATATAATGCATATTATTTAGTATATGGCATATACATGCTAGCATTTCGCTATCTTTGAATGCACTTATAAGATTTGCTCCGTTATCACTCACGACTATACATTTATTTAAGTAATTTTCTACTTCTGTATATTCTCCTAAAATTGAATTGACTACACATATAATTTTGACGTTTTTTCATCCATTGCCTTTGTGGCCAAAACAAATGTTTTTAATTAAAATTCTTAATGATAATATGTCCTATAATGGTTAAAAAAAACTTAGATTTTTATAGTCATCCGTCCAAATATCAGTGATTATGGACAAGTAATTATTATTGATCATGCTTTTAATCTAAAATTTTATTTAATGGTATATTTTTGGACCTATAGTATTCATGAGAGATTTCAGGTTCACAACTTTTTTATTTTGCTATCCATATGTAACACTAATATCTCTTGGCCTAGCTTGTAAAATTCTTCACTTTCACAAATAAAATATAACTGACTTTTCTATAAAAAGTTTAAGCAAAATTTAGCATAAAGTCTCGCGATAAAAAACATCTAAACATAAAAAGAAAATAGAACTAACGAAATGATACCGGATGTTGTTTATAAAATGCGGAAATTTATAGTTTTCATAAATTATTCATTTTTAAAAAAGAACTAAATTAAATAAGAAAATGTATAATATAATTATAAAATTGCAAATTTATATTTATAAAAAAACAATTTTAAAAATTAAAATTTCCGTAATTCACGGGAAATTTATGATCACGCCCTGGGAAAATTTTGGGAAGGCCCGTCACGCCCAGCCACGCCTTGGAATTTAAAATTATTCACACTCACGCCCGTAATTTCACGGCCCGCGCCCACCTCTAATACATATATCTTATATTAATTTAAACAATACACTGAACCCAGTTCTGGGTTCAAATAAAATTCCCGGGTTCGGTTCGGGGTTTTGAAAATTTATAAACGGGGTTCAAGTTCGGTTAGGGTTCAGATTTTTTCCCAAAAATCCGGGTTTTCTTTTCCGGGTTCAGTTCGAAACCCTACATTTTATATTATATACAGAGTTGTTAAAATATAATTTTTAAATGGATCTGGATACAGATATATCGTCTAAAAATTATCTAGATACAGATACATCGGTTAAAAAGTTATCTAGATACCGATACAATTTTTATTATACTTTTAAGGTCTGCATAAATTTAATTAGGATTATATTGTTAAAATTTATGAAATGAGCTAAAAAGTTTATTGACTAGATATCACATTTATCAAAATATAACTAAAATAATGATTTTTAGATTTTAATATACTAATATATGATTAAGTGATTATGTTAATTTTATTTTATTATACTAATATATGATTTATGTTAATTTTATTTTATTATACTAATTTTAAAAATTTATTTTAGATTAATATTAATAATGAAGAAGAGGAAGATGTAATAATCAATGAAGCATCAACACAGACATTGTTTTTCCATGGTCAATTTATAGAGCATATTTTAAAATAATATCTAAAAATAAAAAAAACAAATCTCTGATAGTAAAAGGTTTGCCATGTCTTCCAAAAAATACGAAAATTTCAGTTAGCATTACCTCAACTTACAACATTGTTTAACATTTAAGGATGTAGATACCAGGGTTGTGCATTTGACCGGTCAAATACGTTTCGGTAAATTGACCGATATTTGACCGGTCAAATGTGGTCAAATTAAAATATATGTTTTTTTAAGTTAATATTAACTTTTATTTGAGTAAAATGAATCTATAATATTAATTTTTTAAATTCATTGTCATTCATTAACTAAGAGTCTTGTTCTGATTCATATTCAATATTAACATTTTCTATAATATTTTTTAATCAATTTTCCAGATGTCTCTTCAATCGATTTCTATTTTCATAAGAATATTAACCCAAATCGACCTATTTCTTTCTAAAGAAGAAGTAGAACTAGGAATTGTTAGTCTCTGGGCAGGGTAGACAATCTATTAACTTGAGGTCGGAATTGATTGTTTCTGGAAATTACTAATTTCCACATAATTTGCTATATTAAACATGCTGTTTTTGCTTCTGAAATTAATTAGGTAGACAATCTATTAACTTGAGGTCGGAATTGATTGTTTCTGGAAATTACTAATTTCCACATAATTTGCTATATTAAACATGCTGTTTTTGCTTCTGAAATTAATTATATCACTTAAAATATTTTGGTCATCACTACCTTGTAAAATAGCTAATACTTGAATTATATCACATACTTCATTAATTTCACTGCTATTGAGTTCTCCTCTTGATATTGTGGACCCAAATAAGCAAACATTGTGATCACATGTATTTACATCATTTTTCCCTTTTTTAAACATATTTTTATTTCATTTTTCCTTTAAATTTTTTAGAGCATTGGACCGTATTTGACAGGTCAAATACTCCTCCGGTCAATTGACTGAATTTGACTGGTCAATTGACACTTGCCAACCCTGGTAGATACTAAATAAATGTGTACAATTGTAATTTTAAATTTATAAGGCATCTAACACTGTTAATGAAAAAAACAATTAATACAAAGATTAGTTGATGAATTATCAAGGTCTTCAACTGATTGCAAACAAATAACCTGTGAAAAAAAACAAATAATTTAATATTCCAATTTTTTAGGTATCCCACACCACAGCAGCCGATATGATTGTTAATAATGATTTAAATTTTAATACTCAAACTCAACAAATTTTAGAATAATTTTTCCAAAAATGAAAGTCGAGATATTGAAAATAAAAATGGCAGATTTCTTGAGATGGATTGTAATATCAAAATTTGTCTGGTTTATTGATAAACTTGCACACAATATTTAATGATATTTATATATATATATATTTTATTATAGTAGTCTTAATATTTTTTAATATATATATATTTAAATTATATGCTCATATGAAATAAATAAATTTTGCATTCAATTATTTTTATTTGTAATGTAAAAAAGCGTTAAATAAAAGTATATCAAAATTTATCTTAAAAGTATCGAAAAACAGATATAGATACCTCTAAGATAATATCTAGATAAAGATACTTTAAACAAAATCTATCTAGATCAGATACCACTTTTTTATATCTAGATACTTTAATAACTTGATTATAACCATTAATATAAAATTATTATATACACTAGATATTTTTATAACCCAATAAAAAGAAAATATATTACAATTATCTTTATGGATATCGCCCTCTATAATTGCTTTATTTGTTTCTAAAATTAAAAAAATAAATAAAATTTTAATTCTTATTTCTCCATTAATACTTTTTTTACTTAAATATTTAAAAATATTGATAATAAACATATTTGACAAGTTTCATCGTTTCAATAAAGGCCCTTTAAAATTGATTTTTCTATTTCTATTTTTAAAATTTAAAATTATAAAATACTAAATAAATTTTAATTTTTTTTCCTCCATTAATATTTTTATTTAAGTATATAAATATATTGGTAATAAGCACATTTCATTTAAAATAATTTTTATTTTCTGGAGAAATTTAAGGGCTACAAAATGATATAAATTTGTTACTTTAGACCAAATACATTTTGAGTATTTTAAAATTCGTTAAAAGAGGAAAAGGCTTTGAAGGCACATAATTCGGGATATATTTGAGCTAGGGCATTTAAATTTATATAAAATATACAATCTCTTTAACTTTTATGCCAAGTTTCATTCATTTTAAAAATGATGGTGGAATTACCCTGATTAAGCTTGGAAACGAGTAAGCAAAATAACCCTTTTTCGTAATCTTTTAATACCAAAGATTTTTAAATTGTTTATTTTATTAATTTTGTATTAGTATTTACAGTTAGGAATATGATTAAAGGCGAATTCAGTGGCCTATGGATAGTGTTGTAACGGCTCGATTGTTAAAAATGGCTCAACATTTAACCAAAAAATATTATGCAAGCCTCGAGATTTCGTTAATAGATGTCTAAACCTTTGCCATCTATGAGCAAAATTTCCAGGTTTGCCTACTATTTTGGCTAAGGTTAGTCGTTTCAAAAAATCTAGTCATTTAACAACAGTAGCTATGGGAAAGAGAAAACTATGTCCATAACACGCTTAAAATATTTTCTATTTGAGAGAATTTTAAAATTAATTAAATTGATTTTCGCACGCTTAAACGATATTAGCTAGCCATATCATTTTTTAGAAAAATAACTCATTTTTTAAAGATCCTTTAAATTTTATATTCATAAGATTATATATCTAATTAATATTTAAAAAAATCCAGAACCTCCTATTATCAAAAGATTTGATAATCATACAGTTAAACAAAACGAAAATCTTACTGTGGAATGTATGGCTGAAGGTGATCCGTCTCCTACAATCCATATCGTTAAAGAATCAAATGATCAAAAATCACAAATACTCGATGAAGTAGAGTTAAATTTAAAAAATAATTTTTAATAAAAAGCTGGATTTTAAAGTCTTTTTTTTACATTTTGAAATATGAATTTTGTGGTTTTGAATTATCTAAAAAACTATAGTTATATTTAGGTTTATAATAATAATATTGCCTAATACTAGAAATTTGACCGAATAGTAAAAAATTTAAGTTTTTTGAAAATTCCAATTTTATTTATTTTTGATTTTGTACACAACGAAATTTTTTGTTTCCCAAACATCACAAATTATTTTTATTAAAAAAAGAGAATAATTTTTTTATTAAAATTTATTTTTACAAATCTTTTTTAACAGTAAAATATATTTTTTTAAGAACAATTCCAGGGTATCATTCGAATCATTCCTTCTCTCTTCTCAAATAGTCAATGCGATTTTAATCATAAAAAATGTATCCAGGTCAGATGCCGGTACCTATTCATGTGTAGCTGAAAACAACGCGGGAAATAGTAGGCAAAACAACTTAGTGACTGTTCAATGTAAATATAATATTTTCTTATAATTTGGCTGTATAAGGAAGTTTTTTTTTATCTAATTGATATGTCGTCGTTGGTTAATTATAATTATACCATGAAATAACATTTCAACAAAATTGAATGGTCATTTGAGGCCAAGGAGATTTAAAATTTTTTTTTGATTTGGATTAGGAGGTTCTCTTAACTTCTAATTTAATCCTTGAGAAAGCAGGTGAAAAAAAATTAGCGACTGGTGAAATATTTACCCCAAATTAGGGATTGCAGATTTAAATGAAACTGTTTTAAATCGCGATTTAAACAACCCGATTATTTTGAAAAAATGGCTGTCAAGCCCTCCAACAACACTAAGTCTACATTTAGAATAATTTTATACATATAATGAATTTAAACTTTCTATTAAATTTTTTTTATTTCTAAAATATTATACAAGACGCTCCGATAATCGACAAATTAATTAGCAGGAGCGTATATTTTTTATGGGCAGGTCATTCCATAAATCTTACCTGTAAAGCTGATTCAAACCCAATGTCCATCTTTAGGTGGTATTTTAGAGACAGAGATCTAACTACCTATTCCTCGAAAATTTATTATGATCCTATAGATGGAATATCTAACTTTTTGGTAGGTTCCTTTGCAAAAAATTCTATTTTGTAAATCTTTAATTAGTCAAAAATATAAAATAGATGGCCCTCTTAATTTATTTTTATCTAGTCATGTATGATTTGTTTATCATGTAAAAATATCTACATCCAATAGGTAGAACATAATCCCCGTATTTATGGGGATGGATGGAGGTGCGAAGCTTCCAATATTTACGGCACGGATCGACATGAATTTATTATCAAAGAAGCTGGTAAAATATTTTTCTTCATTATTAAATATTACATTTTTTGTTAAAATAGGAAAAAATACAAAATTCAGTGACGTTGTCTTTTTAGCAGGCTTAGTAACTACTAAACTACAAAAATAAATGACGCCATTGAATATATAAATGAGAGATCGAAACAAGGCTCTGTTATATATATATATTAATAATTTCAAAATATTACACATCAAGTACCACCATCTCCACCTTCCACTGTTCGCTTTACACACGTAACCCCAACTACCGTCAATTTCCAAGTATCCGAAAATGAATTATTTCACGACGATTTAAATCCAATCCTCAATGTCACGGATATATACGTCAAATTTAAAACTTTCAATCAGGCACCTAATGATATTACGAAAAACGATCAGATCAAAAAATTTATGATTGGTCAGTTTTATTTTTGTAAACTGTTTTTAGGCGTTTTTTTAAAAAATATATCTTTTAGTTCTAGGGGTTTTAAAGATTGAAGCTACATTCAAAGCTAATTTACTTTTCTTAAGCAATAATGTAATAGGATATAACTGTCTATCATAAAACTTAGGACAGCTGCATCTTAACACATTATTCATTACTAAAAGTAAACCAACTTTGGACGTAGAATTTATAACAAACTCTGACTTCAATCAAATTTCGAAAAATAAAACGCGTTCGATAAAAATTATGAAAATATAATTTGTGATTATTTTTATTAAAAATATTCCAATCCTTGCTTATCTAAAAAAAATCCTTTATGTCAGTTAGATAATGCGATAAAATCTTTTCCAATCGTGCATATTTAGTAGGCTTCCAAGATATTTATTATCAATAATATACAATATATCGTATCTTACCAAGAATTATCATTATTAATAAATACGATAAAGGTGGTCCCTACATCATAGACAACTTACGGGCTGATACCGATTATATTTTCACGCTATACTTCGGAAACGAAGTAGGAAACGGCAAGGAATCAAAAGATTTTCACGTAAAAACCTCAAAAGAAAGGGTTCCTTTTTCTCCAACAATTGTTTCTCCCCCTAAGACAAGTAAGGAAGAACTGGGTTACGATTTGATATGGAAAGAACCCTTAGATGGTGGTAAACCGGTCTTAGACTATGAAATTAAATGGATCCAGGTATTCATTTCACTCACTTAATGTGGAAATTAATGACAATTTGAAGTTTTCTTTGAACAATTATTATATATTTTTTAAATATACTAATAAATATAAAATAGGTTTACTTCTTATTCTATATTTTTAGGGTACATCATCTAAAAACTCCACTAAATTCAAGCCTCATAAGTCAAAAGTTTACCAAATTGAATGGATAAAAGCACCCATAAACCATTTTCGTATCAAATATTTGCTGCCAGATTCGATTTACAAAATAGAAATTAGAGCAAGAAATTTAATAGGCCTAAGCCTGCCAGATAGTATTGTCATCAGAATCATGTCAGGTTTGTTAAATATAATAGTTATTTTGTTTATTTATGCTTTATAAATGAATTTTATTTCTATCTTGGCAATAAACTACAAAAAAATATTATTGATTTAATTTGTATTTGTGTCTTATTGGGATATGGAATTCGGAAACTTTTAATTTTAAATATTTTATTCAGGGCGATTTATTTGACCAGAAATGTATTCCAACATGCGTAAGGTACCTCCTAAGAATTTCCGCATTTTAACTTTTAAACTTTCTTACACTTTAATGGCGGTAATAATCACAAATTCATTAGGTGGGTACACACACGTTGGAATGCATTTCCCATCAAATCAGATTTATCAAATTTAAAAATCGCCCCGAGAAAATGATTATTAAAAAATTCCGAATCCCCCCAAATTCCACCTTCTAAACTTTAAATTTTCAAATACCCTTACAGATCAAATATCTGCACCCTTAGGCCCGGGTGATTACAATCCCAGTCACAGGGGACTGACTAAAATAGCTTGGATGGCACTGATTATTTTGATTTGCCTACTGGCCCTCTTACTCGTGGATTTATATTGTTACTGCAACAACAAGTGCGGGCTCATCATGTTCCTTTCTATCAAATTTAGGGGCAAAAATTACGTGCGAGAGAACGGGGGAATTGATCTGAAATCGCCCAAGGATATCGACAAAAATGACTCATCAACCATATCCTCTACCAATAGACACGCCTTAAATAATCACGGGTTTCACAATATACCTTATTATCCTTAAAATATAATCCCCCTCTCTCTCAACTTTTAATATGTAATGAGAGTTTAATTTTAAGAATAGAGAATTTCAAATTTTTCAATCTATAGGTATAGCGAAAAAATTTGCCTTAAATTTAATATCCATAACATTATAAATATCAGAGACCTGCAGATGTACCATTTGTACGGCCCGGCCCAGCCCAGATTAAAAAATTTTCGGCCTCGCCCGGATTTTTTTTCAAAAATTTTGGAATTTTTTTAAAATTATATTCGACCTGGTTTATACGAAAAATTTATTATTTCGTATTTTATCATATTTTTCTGCGAGTATTATCATTTAATAAGCAATTATATTAGCTAATGTTGTTAAACGGCTCGTTTTGAGCCGATTTTTAAAAACGGCTAACTCAATATTTTCGCCAAAAAAATATTGACTAAGCCTCGAAATTTCGATACTATATGTCTAGACCTTTGCTTCTTCTAAGAGCAAAATTTTCAGGCTTGTATAATATTTTTCTGGATAAAACACTGAGTTAGCCGTTTTTAAAAATCGGCTCAAAACGAGCCGTTTAACAACACTAATTTTATCTTATTCTAAACAAATATTTAGTATATTACAAATTGATACAAAAAATTTGTGTAATAATATTTTGAGAATATACTATGTATTTATAAAAAAAATAAAAATGTTATTTTAATTAATAAAAAATATAACATATATTATATATTATATAATAATGTATTTAATCCTTTGCGTATTTATTCCATGGCAGGAAAACTATAATTTTATTATGTAATAGATACTATGAAATATTAAATGCGTGATTTTTAATATTATTTATTTACTCACACAAAACCGGGGTTTAAAAACACACATTTCAATTTCACTATATTAAATTCACATTAAACATCACGATATTTATAATAATAAATATTATATTTATTTTGTCACTTCACTTAAATTAGTAATAATCACTTGCAACCTTTGAACGAGGAAAAACCATTTGAAAATTATATGCCTGCTTTATCCGAATTTTCTGAAAATGCACCCATGATTTCGACACCATTATCTCAAGTTTAAATTTCTTATAGTAGTTGTTATATACACTTCTCGACTCTAAATATTTTACCTCCATTATCATAAATTTTTTAAAAAAATATATTTTTTGGATAAAGAATGAAGCTTAAATCAAAGAAAATGGACATGAAGATTCATTAAAGTATTGGATATAAATATAGCATTTTATTTTGTATATACACAACTTCACAAGGAAAAAAAAATCTTAGAAATAATCTTTCGCCATTCCATAAATTATACTCTTTTTAAAACTTATTTTAAATTTTTTCGTGTTTTTAACAAAAAATATATATATTTATTAACGTATACAAAAAATCTGCTTCATAGATCATCATATTAAAATCATAGCATTTTTTTTTTATTTAAAAACGCTTATAACTTTGCCTGCTTATGTCCACTTTCTACACATGTGAAATTTTTAATTTTTAAAAAATTACCAATTAACTAGTATTTTTTTTAAAACTACATTCTAATAATCATTGTATTTATATGCTCAAATAGTTTTTGTACTATAATATTCATTCGTATTTTATATTATGTACTATATATTTAATAATTTAACCAAAAAATTATTTGTACACATTTAGAAATATCAATTTTTAATATTATTTTTATAAAAAAAATTTTTGTATAAATTTTATTTTATTAAATAAAAAAAATTAAGATAAATGTTTGTTTATATGATGCTTACCTTTAATATTTTAAATTAATATAGGATAATCCTAATTTAGAGAAATTAAATTATGAGTTGAAAATATGTCATTAGAAACATGCAACTTATGAATGTTTTATGTTTATCATATTAAAAACTTGCTTTATGTTGAATTAAAAGTATAACGATTCCTATAACTTTTGTTATAAAGTTTGATTTTTTTGTCCCAAGTTAGACTTAATAGGAAATTTGAACGATGGATTTCTATAAAGATCTTCGGAGCAGATACCAATTGACGGAAATCTTATGATATTTCTTTCCCGATAAAAATGATAAATTTAAATTGGTGAATATTCATTTTTATTGTGGACAATTCCATTTTTCCAATAAAATATTTTTTAAATTTATACATTCCCTACACGAGGAAATATTTGATCTGAACGGGTATGTAGTTATGATTTTATATTAAAAGGGATCCATCATATAGATGGGGTGAATGATATTGGTATGCCAGCCTCTTTGAAATGTAAAAGAATTAGTAAATAAATTTTAAAAACACGATTTTTAGAAATGAAAATTTATATTAATTTTTTTTTTCAAGTTAGTTTAGATTAAGGGGAATTTTTGGTAAAGGAAGAAGATTTAAGAAAATGGTTAGATAAAATAAATATTTAATATAGCAATAATTACTTGATTTAGTTTTTCCGTATTTAATGTCTAACTTCTTGATGTTTCATGATTTTAGAGTATTCCAACTGTCCATGACTCTTATTAACAGTTATCTATAGTCATTCTCGGTCATTAATCGATATAGAATTAAACAAAAATGGTGCTAGATTTTCCGGGACAACTTATTGAATATAAAATTAGCAAATTAAAAAATTTACGTTTACTATATATTTAATTAAATAGATTTTCAACTTTAAATTTTTCCGTTGCTTCTATCTATCTTTTTGAGTGATTGTTTGTCCTCCTTGATATATAACCAAAATATTTTTGGTGGCTCATGTCCGAGTTTGCTTTACCATTAATCTCGCATTCAATAAAATAAATTCATGAGGAATTCATTAAACTGAATAATGAATAGTGAATATTAAATTATATAATTTTAAAATTTTGGGATATTATTAAAATAAAACATAGCCAAGGTCACAATTACGAAGAATGCTCACTTATAAAGTTGGAATAAATCGATAATATTAGTCAGCCGACGATGCTTTACATATATATTATAACTCACCCACAAGCTTTCTAAACTAAAAGCGAATATGCTGGATAACGATATCAGCTAGGTTTTAAGGAGTGACAGACAGATGTTTTGGTCATGTCGAGCGAAAAGCTGATTATTAGGTTAAGCTTCGCAAAAGGACAGATGATGCTAAACCTAGAAAATGCCCGAAAAGACATAGAAAGTCGTTGAGGATATTATTTGAAGTCTTTCAGATTCAAAAGGTTACGCTCATTACCGTTTAACCTAACGGTAAAAAGTATTAAGAAGAAAAATAGTTAACTCAAATATCTTTAGAGATCTGTTGATAATCATGATAAATGGATATATCGATATTTTGGCAGAGCTAGAACTTCAGAGCTGAAATTAGGAGGTTCATTTTAAATGTTTTATTCTTTAAGAAATGGTTTATGGAATGTAAACAACAAAAAAATATTATTTTGGTGCCAGACTTTACTATTTTTTACCCTTGTTCTCGCCGAGATACGCCGTCTATTATGCGCTTTCTCCTTATTTTTATAAAATAAATTTGGAGAAATTTAACAAAATACTTAAAATTAGTTAATCAGACATTTACACTACCATTTTTTTTTATTTTAGTTCGATTACACATTAAAATAAACATCTTGTTCCTTTTCATTTTTAGAAAAGAAAAAACAAAATATTTATTATATAATTTTAAAAAGAAATATAGTAAATCCACTTATTCTGAGAATGAAAATGATTTTTATGTGAATGTTAAATAAGAGTTTGATAAGATTTTTAAATTCCAATCTATATTTAATGCTATTATAAATTTAAAGCAATTCTACAATTTTTAATATTATTTAAAAATAATTTTTGATTAGTTAAATAAAATTTCCTCCTAATTTAATACTTATCTATGTTTCTATTTTTATTCCATTAATCAAATTATATAAAAATTAAGAAGATCTAAAAAAAGATACATAAAATAACTACGCAATATCGAATGCCTAGAACTGATAGTCCATGATGTGAAAAACATTAAAAAAGGCAAAAATATATATTTAATTTAGGAATTTTGTAAATCACACGATAAAATCGTTTAGTTTTTTTGCAAACTTGTCTATTCTTTCCATATTCAAAAATAGTAAAAAACATATAATGTAGAAGAACAAAATACTAAATCGTTTTGAATATCACATAAGTCTTGCAAGAGAAACATAAGGATTCGAAGGAATATTATCCATTTTCTTTATTAACGGATGCCTCAAATAATGGAAATACCAAAATATTCCCAATTATACAGTGTTATTTTAATAAAGAAAATTTTAAGTAAATTTCTAAAGATATTTCAAGAGACTTGAATAAATCGAAGGATATTGAATCTATGCTTTATCAGAACCTTGATGATTTATTTTATGCGCATATTTCTTATGTAAAAATTTAATAAATAATTATTGGAATTATGGTTTATTAATTCCATTTTTTGTTTGAAAGAATCTGGTAACCCTGGTTAGAGAACTGCAAAGTAATTTTTTCGCAACCCGAGCCCGACCCGAGCCCGAATTTAAAATTTTTTTTTGTCCGAGCCCGACCCGAGCCCGAGCACACATTTTTTAATCCAACCCGACCCGACCCGAGCCCGACCCGAATAAAATTTTGCAATTTAAGTTTTAATATTATAATAACCAAAAAAAAAATTATGTGTATTTATTCAGTTCAGCCACCTTAAATAAAAGTTTATTTGACGGCCATAATCTATTCAAGATATATATTAAGTTGCATTTTTAAAATTTGTAAAAAATATTATAAAACGATTAATATACAAGCGAATTTAAAAATTATAACGATTATATAATAAGCATCATTTATGCGAATATAGATATGATGTAAAAGTTAATAAATATATAAAAAATATAATGAACATATTATATTATATATTGACCTCATCAATATCATTATCAAAATATCACAAAGTGAATAATTATGATATATAAATAAAGAGGCGTCCAGTTTATCTGGCTTTAAACGAGTCCTTCTCTCCTCAAAGGCCCTACCAGCAGCTGAAAACGCCCTTTCACTGCTAGCCGACGAAGCAGGGATAGCCAGGAATTTAAGAGCTAAAATACTTAAATTTGGAAACTCATAATGGTTTGTTTTCCACCATTTTAAAATATTATCGTCATCAACACATAATTTCGGATCTAGATATTTTTTTAGCTCGTCAACTTCGGCGCTAGCATCAGAATACGCATTGTCAGCCTCCCATAGAGAGAAGTCCAAAAACGTATCTACCAGCTGTATTCTTAAGAAAAAAATATTCAATAATAATATTAAGATATATATTTACATTATTATTTTTTAATAATTTTACATATTTGATGGTTAATATTTTTTTTGATATATGATATTTTTTTATAAAATTTATGTAATTATCATTATTCAACATTGATTTAATAAAATTTTAATTTTTTGAATTTTATTTAGTGATAATAAAATAATTAAAGGAAGTACTGAAAAAGAAAATTTTATTTCAGTAATTTTAGGAAAATTTGTCTAACTTTTTTTTGGAAGTAAATATTAATCTAAGATTTTGTTATTATCTCCAATATTTTTTAAATATAAACTCAAAATTTTAGATCTCAATTTTTAATATGTTTTGAGATATATCTAATCAAAATTTGGGGTAAAATAGACCCCACCTTTGTAGTTAAGGGAGTTTTTTCTACCTTTGTAGTGAAGGGTTAAAACAAATGTTAAAAAAGACAATGTATAGGCTAGTTAAATAATAAATAAAACTTACATAAAATATGTCTTATCTTGTAATTTACGAGAAACACAATTTAGTAATAAAATAGTTTGGTATCCGGTTGTTAGGTTTATAAAATAATAATTAATAATGACATGACATGTTAATATGATTGACATTTTAATCCTAAAATGTGATAAATATTAAATAGTATGATTTTATAATTAATATTATAAATTATAATTAATATTATAAATTATAATTAATATTATAAATTATAATTAATATTATAAATTATATTAACTATTTAAGATATTAATATTATTATATATATTTTCAGGTCGGGTCGGGTTTTCGGGTCGGACAGCTTTTACAACCCGACCCGAGCCCGAACCCGAGAATTTTTTTTTTGATGTCCGAACCCGACCCGAGCCCGAGGGTCGGGCCGGGCCGAGTCGGGTCGGGTCGGGTCGGGCTACGGACAGCCCGTGCAGTTCTCTAACCCTGGTAATATTCCTTTTTTGGTTGAACCTTTGCTTTATTTATTTTTTTAAAAACCAAGTTATAGAAATTTTACTATTCCTAATTTAAAGCTAGTTTAAATAACCGTACATTTATTTTTTAAATTAAAAAAAGTTTTATTTTGTAAAAGCAGAAGTTTTTAAAGCATTTGAATACACTGTTAAATTTAATCTCAAAAATATTTACTTAAAAGGCCAATTTTTTTTTAAAATTTAGATAAAATGTTAACATATTTAAATATTTTATCACCAGAGGGCGTTTTA